ATAATAATATATATATATATATATATATATATATATATATATATATATATATATATTTTATTTGTACTCGATTCGAATTATCAAATGTATTGTATTTTGTATGTATTGTATTTTTTCCCTACTTCATATAAAAAGATCGCGATAGAAGCGACATAGAGCAACGTTTTCATCCTCAAACGCGTAAACGGCGATATCACGATGACAATCAATTCGGTCGAGATCATTCTGTGCGTTTATCGCAAAGCAGTCTCGGGCAAAGTCGAATCGTTAATCTGGAGATGATGCGTCCCAAGATACAGTCCCAGCTGATCTTCGGAGGATCGTGTTTGTCGCCGCGAAAGACGAACGCGACCGAGGATTTCTTCATTATGAAGCGGAAGACGAACGCGACCGAGAATTTCTTCGTTGTGAAGCGCAAAGCGATCGACTTTTTTTGTACCTTTGTATATATACAAGGATATATACGCTCAATGTACAATAAAGAAATAAAGAGGAGAATGAAATTGAGACTCTGTCTATCTAGTTTGACCAGGGAGGGTGGGTGGGGGAGGGGACCTCCATGCGCGGCCGAATGCTTGGCCATGTAGCGGAATACGACGTGCAGAATGTTGGCTGCCACGTTGGTAGGAGCAATAATGATCCATGCTATCCATCGCTATCCTCGAAATAGCAGCTCTCAATATCGTGACTTGCGTCAAACTTTTGGCAGTCATCTTGCCCGTGAGGAAATTCAAAGTCCCTGCACCTGCGCGGATGCGTTAATGAGCGCGAACGAATTCGCGATTTCTTAACCTTTTGTAATAATATTACAAAATGTTAATATCAAAAAATATTGATATAAGAACACGAATGATTTATATAGAAGATATGAATCGATGTTTCTTCGATTTTTATTAATAATTTTTATAATAACGTTAATATCAACATAAGAGAATACTGAAGATCAAGTATGTATTCAAATTGATTTAGCAAAAGACACAAACATAGATGAAAATAAAAAGCTTAAAAGGTTCAATAAAAATAAACATTTGTTTAAGCACGTTATGTGCATCATTGATTTTTATTGGAATGGTGCGCACATAGAAAATACCATGACTCTCCTCCAAATGTGATTCGCGAAAAACAAAACTGTCACCGCAATTTCTCGTTTTGTTGAGGCAAACGAGCGTTTATTCGCGACACGGAATTTCAAGTTTAGGTGCAAATAGAAGCAACAGGCAAAGGTCAAGATCCGCGCATTCGCAACTGCGGTTCAGATTTAGGAAGATAAATGGACGCTGTAAATAAAAGCGAAAAATGCAAATGGAAGTTCGCGGAAAGATTATCATTCTTTCATTTATATGGCAAATAAATTATATACAATATATAAGTAGATTATAAATATTAATATTAATACGAATGTATAAAATTGAAGTTATTCTTATAAAAATTTAACATTGGAAGGTAATAATTAAATATTTATTTTGAGTGTTGAAAATATTGTTGTTTAATGCTATACTATTGTTCAATGCTTTTAATATTCAAAATAAATAATTTCTAATATTAAATTGAATTCTTGTAAAAATAACAATAACGTTTTCGCATTTCATTCATATAATCACAAAAAGGTAAACACAGAACAATTTTAGACAATACAATTTTTGCAGAATCTATAAGCTGTCTCATTATTACTTAAATCTATGAATTTTTAAGCAAGAATGTACATATCAAAATATTGACGCAAGCATAAAAATTATATAGAAAATTATATATTAAAATTATATGTTTTATTATCTTTTTTACATAAATGTATATAAGCGACACAATTCTAAATAGTTCAATAATTATTTTTTCTTCATCACCATCTGCTGATATAAACGGGGCATTGACGACCCAGTGGCTCGGGGGTATAGCCGAGCCACCCTGTTCGTCAGAGCCGTAAATAGATTTAGCTTGGGGCTGATGACTTCATCTAGTAAAGATACTGTCATGAAACCACAAAAGTAACTTCGGACAGGATGAAATGGTTACGCATAGAAAAGTGAATATGGATATGAGAATGCGATGAATAGACGGAGTCAATGCGGACGCAACGAAAATGTTGAAAACTAAGAAATGGAGGAGAGGATGTCAGCAGAGGGACAACTGGAGGGGAAAGCTAATGAAGGCCAGAGCTCAATTTGGGCAGAGCCAATAATAATAATGTATATAATGTATATAACTATATTACTTTTCTTTCTGTAAATCATTTACTTATTGTTTTGTAGTTTTAATTTCATTTTCTTTCATAAAAATATCTAAGTCTTATTTTGTTTATACTTTAACTTCTTCATAATTTCAAATTTCTTTATTTAATATTATAAACAGCATACATACAAGAAAGATGTTCTTTTTAAATTTTAATAGCTTTTTATTAATTACTATTGTTATTATAACAGCCAATACATTCTTAAAAGAATGTACATATTACTGAAGAGATAATGGAAGAGATAATGAAATAATGTCATCATCATCGACTGTTGATATAATCTTTTCGATTATCGAAATATTTGAACATTTTTCAATTTTCTTATTAAAAAACATTGAAAGAAAAACGATAGGAAACAATAAAAAATTTATTTTATTTCCTATTGTAACTTATTTTGATATTCAAAAGAAATGTTGTTTATTGATGATGTTGACAATATAAAATTGGTAGAATTACAGCAAACTATATCAATTGCATTCAACGGAGAAAACAGCTTTACAACTATGTACAATTTTTTTAATGTGGTTGGTTTATACATTAAAAATTCAACAAGAAATTAAAGACAGAAACCAATTATATTAAAAAATCTTATATAATAATTGCAATTGCTGTTTTGGCTGCGTTTAGCGGAACAAAGAATCAATGAATGCGATGTGTTATTGGTCTTTACTGTTAATACTTTATCAAATTCTTAAGATCTGGTTTATGTCTCGGTCTTAGTCTGATGCCCATTTCCTCCAATATGGTCCAATTCAGAGTTCCTGTAAACTGCGTTCAATTTTGAACTCAGTTTAATCTTCGATCAACTTAATTTGTTTTCCTTCAACTTTATCTTGATTCCGATCAACTGAACGTATATCCAATGTCTGTTAACTCCAACTAAATTTGTATCAAGTAATGTAATTGGTGCATAATGAGCATAACAGAAAGGATGAAAAATTTGACGATAAAAATATCGAGATGATCAAGCAAAAAAAACTTCAAATAATCTTCAATTCCATGACGAAACTCGGAAGAGTATAAAAAAAACGTTGATTAATTTGTTAGTGAATAATAAACATAGAGTTAATAAATATGATGATGAATAATGTAAAAGAAAAACATGAACTTGAAATTTTAAAAATTGCAAAAAGAAAAGTTGCAAGTTGAAATATTACAGAAAGAATTAAAGTTAAAAAATTTTTATTTAAAAAAAAACAGCGAAGATTAAAGATGTATAAATACACACACACACACACACACACACACACACACACACACACACACACACACACACACACACACATACACACGCGCGCGCGTATATATAATACTTTTTTTATAGATAAAAAGTTCTTAAATTTTTATTATTTTCGTAAGTTAAAGCAAAATTTAATGTTATTTACAGTTATTTTTATTTTTAAAAAATGTGTTTATTTTAATTTTCCTATAATCATAGGTATATTTTTATATAATAAGATAAAATCAGAATTACTTATATTTATTATAAACTACTGTACTCATAGCCTTATATATAATTATCAAATAAAAGTTTTAATTTAATTTACTCGTTTTGCGAAATATGATCAAAAGAAAGTTTTATTTATTTGTCGTAAATAAAATAAATGATAAATTAATTTGTCATAAATGTTACTTTATTTATTTACTGTACTAGCTTTTAATTATTCAATGATGAATATAGTTTGTTTAAATAATATATTGAATATACTCTCAAATGCTGATATATGCATATACGTTTTGCGTTATCTTCTGCTTAAATGCCGTTCAAACTTGTTAACTGTCCAAAAATGGGCGTTCAGAATGAATGTCGTTTAATTGACTTAACTTATACAAAAAGCTTGGTGGAAACGCACGCAAAATGTCATTAATCGGAGTTTAAACTCGGTTTAAATTTTGAACCACGTTGGAGGAAAACGGGCATTAATCTTAATTAATTGGAAATTTTAGCATAAACGACCTTATGGCATTCTTTATTTCCAACTTTTAAGTCCCGGTCTATAATAGATGATTTAAGCCTTAAAAGCCATAACAAATTGACTAATCATAGTCGATTATTCTCCTATTCTTCAATTATGATTCGTCCATTTCTTATCGAGACTAAGGTTAAACTAAGCCCGAAACATAAACGAGCCTAGAATTTAAATCAATTATGTTGGCGTTGATTATTCAATCGTTGTGCAATTATTGTATTTCCTGAATACAATCTTTTTTCGCTGAACACATCTTTAAAGCGGCGTCTACAATGAGACTTTAAGACTTAAGAAATTGCCCAACTACAATCGATTATTCTTCTATAATTCGATTATGATTGGCCAATTTCTCAGTCTTACGCCTTAAAATCTCATTGTAGGCGTCGCTTAAAGCTGATGGCAGAAAACAAGACGTAAATGTTTATATTTATCGTAGACATAGAGTCTTTTTCACCAATTTTCGGTTAAGTTAACCGATGGTTAACCTGCAGGAGTGCCAATTGTAGTATTGTTCAATGCTCAGAAAGTAGTGTATGTTTTTTAGCCTAATATTCTTTTCGTGTTGTAGGTACTTTGGTAGGTAGATGAAATTGTAAATAATATCCGATAATTAATGTAAATAAAAATTATTAAACAATCAATCGCTTAAACAAAAATTTTAATATTTATCTATAATAAATAATTTACTTCTCAGTTGTTGGCAATCATGATCGAGTTAATTATAGACATAAATAAACCAACCATGCTATATACCAGGCAATGGGCGACATGTGCGAGTGAGAAGAAAGACCTAATTGTTTTCTCTCTCTCTAATAGAAGAAGGTGGAGGAACATTAAGTGGGGACTATGTCTATGATAGGGATCATACACACACTCAGGACCTGATACATTGTGATTGGCTGAAATACAATCATCACTAGCAATCGTAGCCGCGCAACTGCTAGTCTGATATGGCCTTTATAGGCCTCGCATATAAAAAAAAATGAAAGGATACATATAAGACATGAAGATTATTGGATACGGAGAGTATTCACATATATATTTTTTTTTGCCTTATTTTACATTCGTATCTACGATAAACGTAAATACTTATGTCTCGTTTTCTGCCTCCATCATCAATCTAAAAGATTTTATAATGAGAGATTTTTTTATAATAGTGTAGTAAGTCATAAACCATAAGAATTGACCAATCATAATCGCTTATTCTCCTCACATTTAACTCCCATTGTAGACGGCTCTTAATGCATCATCTACAATAAAGAAATAGGTTTTAAGCCATTGTGAAAAAGGATTTTCAAATCTATAAAATATCTATAAAATTATACAAATAATATAATAAAAAAAAAAAATATATATATATATATAT